TTATGAAATTTTCTTTTAAATTAATCAAGAGAAGAAAAATATATTTATACTTCCCTTTATACTTACCTGTATAATTACCTTTACCTGTGCTCTGTATTTCTTTATGTGCATCCAAATTACCATCTGATACTATTTCCTTTCATCCTGGAAACTTCCTTTAGTATGTCTTATGAGGCTCCTTCCAGCAATGGATTTTCTCCATCTAAGTTTACATGGAAATGACATTATTTTACCTGCTGAAGGGAACATTTTTCTAAGCAGCTTCCAGTTTAAGCAGTACTAGTACTAGTAAATTTTTTAGAAATCAATGAGTTTGTTACTCTTTGTTTTTTTAAAAAAATTTAAGTTGTATAGGTAAAATGCAGACTGTGGGAACCTATCATTTTGATCAATAGTCTGTCTCACCTTGTCAAATATCTAAACCCTAGCAGAGCTCCCAAGTCCATCCCTTAGGCTGACTACATGAATGTCTTTGAATAGAAGAAAATGTAGGAATTTAGATTTATCAGCTTGGAATGGGAAGGCTTATGTCTGACAGTATAAAAATAAAAACATCCCTAATAACAGTTGAATAAACAAATTTAAAAGATACAACATATTTGGATAAAGTAAGTATAATATATATATACTAGGCAAAGTGGTACTCATATTATTAGAAGAATTTTTAAAAATAAACAAGAAAAAGATAATCTGTTAAAGTGAAAACACAAGACACAAGTTGTTCAGTGTCTTAGTAGTCAGGAAAATGTAAATGAAATACCGACAAAATACTTTTGAGTTATTAAAATATAAAAAAGATTGATAATGGTATTAACCAAGATGCAAGGAAATCTGTCTCTCATACCCTGATGTTGGCAGTGTAAATAAATTGAGCCATTTTGGAAAACAATTTTTCAATATCTATAAAAATATAAAATAGGCATATCCTTTGACCCAGCAATTTCACTTCTGAGAATAAGAAATATATGTGTATAGATTCTTTATGTATATATGTTGATTTAGGATTTAGGTTATGATAAACTAGGATATGTAAAAAGTTAAATTATTATTAGTAGGTGAGCAAGTTGAATTATTATACAAGCATACTATAAAGTTCATGTATATGTGTTTATGTATGAGCACATGTCAAATACAATTTTTAAATAAAAAAAGTTCTAAATATATACAAAGATATGATCCAATTTATGTAAGAAAATTGGGTAGTATTTAAATGAGTATCCTTATAAAAGAAAAGAAATATAATTGTCAGGACACTCCAAACTGTCACAATGGGTCATAACAGGTTGAAGAGGAAATGGAATGGAGGTGGGCAGAGTCAGTTTTAAGCTTTAGCTTTTGCTCTATAAACTCACATAATATTTGAGATGTGAATTAAATAGCCATTGATTCTAGAACACAAGGATGGGATTGTAATAAAATGAGATGGGGGAAAAGCTCATGTAATACCTTGAGTTTTTTACAACAAGGAAGGATGTCTGTTGTATTTTTGCATAATATTAGAAATGTTGCAACATAAATTTAAAATCCTGATATTAATTTATTATTTATTAATTAATCTGCCTTTTTTTCTATTCTGTTCACCAAATCATCTATATAAGTGTGTATGCTACAGGTAAGCAGCTAAGGAATTCTAAATTTTTCTCAAAGACAACTCAGTTTCTGAAATTCTTTTCAATTTGTGAAAAGTTGGAAGGCCTAATATGATGCAATACTCAGAGCCTGGGCACTTCCCTGGGTCCAAAGGAAGAAAATCCTTAGGACAACCTAATGGTTGGTCACTGTATTACTGAGACCTACATAGAAAGCAACATTTAATTAAAACAAAGAGTCCTGGCAAATTCTCATTTCCTTTCCCCTTCATTGCAGGTTCACAACTGTGAATTGTAGTATCCTTGTAAGCCTTTTGTCCTTTCACTAATGTAAGCATTTCTTCCTCATCTTCTTGGCTCCTTTCAATTCTTCCCTCCTTGATTTTCTCAGTCTTCTCTTTACTTCTTTTCCTTTTTTCCCCTCCTTTACTTTTCTTCTCCTTCCACTGGGCTTGTGCTCTTTCTTGTGCAGTGGCTCTTTAGATGCTGCTTCTGCTGCTGCTGCTGCTTTCCTTCCGCCAGAAAGATATTGCACAGGTGCAGCCCCACGCGTGCCACTGTGCGTCTCTCAGGATGCAGTAGTACACACCCGAGTCTCTCAGGCTAACCTGGGGCAGGATCAAGGTACTGGACTTTCTGTCTGTTGCGATGATCAGAGAGTACGTTCCTTTGGTCACGTTGTCTTTTAAGCCATGAATCACATACTCTGGACCCTGGTGGGGAATCTGTCGATACCAATGTATGTACTCATTTCCACTGATTGTGGAGTGGTCACAGGGCAGGTGCACAGCTTCTCCTGCAGTACTCTCCATTGCACCTGGCTGTGTGGACTTAGCATCACTCATAATACCTGCGGGGTTGAGAAACAATGGATTAGCTCTGGAATGTCAACTTTGGGTGCATTTAAGGTCAGATTCATGAGCATGCCCGAACTCCCCTCTCTGGCCACAAGTCCCTACATGAGCATTTTTGTGTGTGTCACACAGGACAAGATAAATATTACTGGTACTTATTATTGAGCTATCCAGAGCCACTGGCCAAAGATCAATTGCTGTACTTTTAGGCCCTTAGGCTTAATGAACCCTAAGCTCCTTACAGTCTCAGAGCTGTGAGGCTCAGGGGATCTTCTGTGAGTAGTGGATATGAGGACCTCCTCACAGTGATGCCCAGATTCTCTAGAGCAGGGGTGGGTGACGTCTGGCCAGTAGGCCATATAAGGCCAAGAAATCATTTGGTCTGGCCCTGTCAAGGCATTAGGGGTGAGTAAATGAAATGTTTGACTAAATAGAGCAGGCTCATTTTTAGGTTGGTAATTTTGTATGGCCCATGAATGATGTTATAAATATCCAAGTGGCCCTTGGCAGAAAGAAAGTTCCCCACCCCTGCTCTAGAGAAATACACAGACACATGGAAACACATAGATGCATTTCCCTCTCAGCAGTTTGGTAAAGTACAGTGGGAGAAGTCCAAGCAACAGACACCTGACCTTTGTCATTAGCCAGCCATCCTTTCCTTTCTCAGTCCCAAATCACTTACCCAAAGTTAGGAGAATAGTTATTCCTGTCACTGATCTCATAGTTAAAGCGCAAGTTGGGGGTCCAGGCCTCTGAGCTCAGCATCTGAGTGTGATCCTAGGTTTGGGGAGGTCCCAACAACAACACAGCAGCCACTAGCACAGCCTCAACCAGGAAGCTTTCAAATGGGCGTTCCCCAGGCAAGCATCAGTGAAAGACAGAACAATCTCTTGGTGGCGTTCACCGCCACCCTCAGGATTAAGCATGAATTTAGAAGGAGGGTAAGAATATTTTCCCAATGTTTACTCCTGATTCAGAGGGTTTACACTGAGATCATTTTCAAGGTTCAAACTCAAATAGTCTATGTCTGAGTGAGTCTAAGTAGCATCATCCACACAGAGATTAACGATCCCTCATTTGTGGTACATGGCAAAACCCACCATTGAACTGGTATGAAATAGCCTTTAATCCAAGTTACCTGTGTTGAGCCTTGGGCTGTAAGAGAAGAAGAGAATTCCTATCCATATTCTGAGCCAGAGCAAGTGTGTCTCAGGAGTAGTAATACATAATTTTACTTCCAAAGTAAGAAACTTTTTTTCTGATAAACAACAACAAAAACAAAACAAACCACCATATGCTCGAATAGAAATCTAATGACACTGTGGAAGGCAATATTTGCAACATACATGACAAAAATAATTTCATAGTTGTCTAATACTGCTGTGCTCAGGCTGACAGGATAAGGGACAATCAGAACCCAGTCTAAGAGCCAGGTTGTCTGGTAGTCTGGTCTCCCACACTGGCTCCTGGAACAATGTCTTAAGCATCTTCCAGATGGACATTTTTGGATGCCTCTGGTTTTGATACAGAAACCGATCACTTGAATGGTACTTATTTCTGTTCCACTTATCTCCTCTTTAACTGGCATTTTCTTATCTTCATGCCCAGGCCTAGGGGTAGCATGCATTGAGGACACTAAGGAGAAAAGCATAGAAGGAAGAGAAGATTTAGAAAGGGAAATGAAATGAAGATTTTTGACAAAAGAGATGGAAATAAATATAAAGGAATTCCTCTGGCTATTCTCAAAAGTGGTTATTATTAACAAAATGGGATAGAATAAAATTAAAATTATTCATCCTCCTGTGCTACAATAACTAAGCTTCTTATTTTGCTATAGGAACAAATATTTGACCATTTATCATTAAACTATTAACCACCTCTCTCCTCTCTTCACATGAGGGATCTGCCCTTTGCTCTGCATTTGGGAAAGGGCTTATTCATGTCCTTGGGGCTTGCACTCAGTCAATGTGAGATTACAAGGAAGCAAAGGGGCTGAAAGTAAGTTCTTTCACAACTCAATGATTACCTGTAACTCACCCTGCTGTAACAGTTTGCTGCTGTAATAGCCCCCTCTTGTGACTGTACATATGAATTCTTTTACTTAGAACTGGGAACCAGGTCAGTCCACAATCTTTTAAGGTGTTTCCTGTCTAAGGATATGTGCCTCCTATATGCTACCACCCTCTAGTGGCAAGGCTCAGTGAAGAGCTTACTACTACAATACTCTAAAAATGTTGAATCTCAGAGGGAAGGCAGGGGTGGGAAGAGATTAACAAAAGAATTTGTATGCATATATGCATAACCCATGGACACAGACAATAGTGTGGGGAAGGCCTGAGGCAGGGCAAGAATGGGGGTGGAGGAAAGGCTAGAAGGGGTCAATGGGAGCAAAAAAGAGGATATATGTAATACTTTCAACAAAAAAGATGACAAGAAAAAAAAAAGACTGAATTTTCAGTCACTTGGGGATTTTAGAATTATTTTTGTGACCTTTTCCTCATAGTAACTATTCTAAAATTCCCCCTCAATCAAATTTCTTTCCTTTCCTTAGTGTCTTCTTTTTTTCATGCTTGATGGCTGTTCCAAGGGCCACATTATTTATTGTTTAGTATAGGATTTGGCAGAGACTAAGCACTTACTAATACTTTGTTGGGTGAATGCATTAATTAATACTTTTTGAGAGAAGTTATATGGAATGACTCACAAAATTATTCTAAATAAAAGCTTCTAACATTCTGGAAAACAAATGGAACAAAGTGTCCAGTAGTGAAGATAAATGCAAAATTAGACCTGTGGACAAAATTCAAGTAGACAGCATTCCAACTCTCACTCCCCATCCTTCAAAAAAAGAGAAAAATTCACAAATCCAGGACAGGGAAAGCCTGGTATGAGAATATGGCAGCCTGTGGCATTGTGGTCATGCCAGCTTAAAGTAATAACAGCAATTGAAGGCAGGTGTAAATATATACATGAAAGAAATATTGGGATTGCTAAAAGAAATATGAAAGTTAAGTCATTATGTCATCTAGTTATGTAATGTAAATGTCAGATCAACATTACAAGTTTTTATCTAGTGTTCACTACTGCATGATTCAGATGATATGAACAATCAAGACAGTCCAAATAACAATAAACATTGAGGAAATTTTGGGTTTTGGTTGTTTTTATATAATAGCTTCATTGGGATATAATTCACATACCAAATAATACATCCATCTAAAGCATACAATACAGTGGTTTTTAGGATATTCACAGAGTTGTGTAATCATCACCACAATTTAAAAACACTTCATGACCCCAGAAAGGAACCTGTACCAATTATCAGTCACTCACCATTTCCCTCCATGAAACTCCCTCTAGGCAACAACTGATCTATTTTGTCTCTGTCTTAGTCCATTCGTGCTGCTTTAACAAATTACCAGGTTGGGTAGATTATAAACAACAGGAATTCATTTCTCATAATTCTGGAGACTGGGAAGTTCAAGATCAAAGCACCAGCAGATTTGGTGTCTAGTAACAGCCTGTTTTCTGGTCCACAGATGGTGCCTTCTTGCTGTGTGCTCACATGGTGGAAAGGGAAAAGGATTTCTCTGGACCCTCTTTATAAGAGCACCAATCCTAAAAGCATCACTTCCAGATTTAGGACACAACTAATATATTGTGGTGAAACACAAACATTTAGACCATTGGGCAGGGGGACACACACATTCAGACCATAGCAATCTCTGTAGATTTTCTCATTCTGCATATAAATGGAATTATACAATATGTAGGCTCTTGGGGCTGGCTTTTCTGATCCAGCATAATGTTTTCTGGGCTCATCCATGTTGTAGCATGTATGAGTCCTGCATTACTATTTATTGCCTAATAATATTCCATTGTATGAATATGCTATATTTCATTTAACAGTTGATGCACATATGGGTTGTTTCAAATTTTGGTTATGAACATTTATGGATAAATTTTTGTGTGCATATGTGTTTTCTTTTTAAAAAAAATATGTACAATCAAGACAGTCCAAATAACAATAAACATTGTGGAAATTTTGGGTTTTTATATAATAGCTTCATTGGGATATAATTCACATACCAAATAATACATCCATCTAAAGCATACATTTTAGAGAGAGAGGGGAAAAGAAAGAGAGAGAAACATTGATTGGCTGTTCCTTGAAAACCCCCTACTGAATATCAAGCCCATAACCTGGGTATGTGCCCTGACCAGGACTCGAATCGGCAAACATTTGGTGCATGGGACAATGCTCAACCAATTGAGCTACATAGGCCAGGATACACATATGTTTTCATTACTCTTGGGTATATACATAGGAGTGGAATTGCTGGGTCATATAATAACTATGTTTCATGACTTAAAGAACTTCAGACCATTTTCTATTGTTGCTG